ATTATTCCAGGTTTAAAAACAGCGTTCTCACCATCACATCCAGAAAGATGTCCTCTGTGGACCCCGAGGCACGTGCAGAATGAGCTATGAGAAGCAGACCGGGGGACGCACTGTACCCGTGGGGGACAGCCTGCCAGTTCCAAAAGGAACTGGGCTCTTCTAAAGGGATGCTGTCCACGTCTGCGTGTGCTCATGGTTGCATCCATTATTCAGTTCACAGGTCAGCTCCAGAAAAGGAAGCAAGACAGGATGGTATTTAATAATGTGTTTTCTGAATCCAAAACTGCTGTTGCTTTTTTTCCTTCCTTTTTTTGGTATCTCCTTTTCCTCTGTCATATTAAGGGGGAAAAAATTGTACACCACCTTAAAATCCTTTTCATAATGAGGTCGAGCAAGACTAATAAATATGCACATTGACATTTGCTTGGGAACCTAGAATACAAATTAAAGGCACTAGCTCTTTCTTCTGGTGAGACATCAAATCACAATTAAATCTTCCTCAAATTCTCTGTTGTCCTGGTAACTGCTCTCTACTTAGAGAATGTGGAGGGCGAGCTTGCCCAAAAGGGTCTGGATGGAGAGAGAGCTTATTAAAGAATTCTTTGACGCTCGCCACCGCCCAAACCGTGCCAGGATGCAGCATGGAGCCGGAGGAAAGCCCTCCTTTGGGTTATTCCTCCCCGTCGCTGGGATGTTCGGGGCCCGGCTGCTGTTAAAAAGCTCCGTACGTTTTCACAACAAGATTGGCTACGGTACACCAGAAACATTGCTGACAAACAGTACTGTGGGTAATCAGATTGCAAAGCCTCTTAAACACATTTGACTCTAGGAAATATATTTAGACGTAGAAGAACAGTAGCTGGGGGATTTTTTTTTTTTTTTTTTTAAAGTGGCAATTGGTGTGAATGAATAAAGATGGTTTCAAAGGAGCTACACTGCTAAGGGATTAAGGCCAGCTGGAACAATTCACTTTAAAAAAGGCCTCCAAGCTCAAGAGAGCAGCTCTTATTTGTTTGCCAGAGGCCGATATATTTTAATCCCCAGGTTTTATACTGGTAGTCTTGAAATGGTTCATCTCTCTCTCCATTTGCCCAAAGAAGAATGACTCTTAATTGCGCATAAATAAAGTCTTTCAGTGCGGATGAGACGATTGTATGCAGCACCAACAAAGCAGGGGAACTTTAAGTAGCAGTCATTTTTATTTTGGCTTAACAGATTTTTAGCAAGAAGACTCTGAATATGAATCGGCTTCATTTTTAAATCCTGAAGAAAATTTCTAAGCAGCCCATAAGGTGCCACTTCAGTCAGAGGCAATTAAAAACTGCCTAGAATAGCAACAACAACAACAAAAAAAATCATAAAATGTTTGGACATTGTAGGGGAAAAAGTTACAAATTACATTAACTCATTCCCACCCCCTCCTGAGTTTATTTGCTTTTATACTCCCACATAAACTCTTCCTAATCTTGGGAGGGAGAATGGCGAAGAAGTACAGCGTAAATAATTTTTTTTTTAAGTAGCCGGGTGTGGTGGTGGGTGCAGCAGAATCACCGTGCCTTTGGGGCCAGCAGGGGCCATGCCGTGAGTTCAAGACCAGCCTGAATTACGTAGCTAGACCCTGTCTCCAAAAAGTCAGCATATATGAAGATGTTGGTTATGATGTTTTGGTTCCAACCATGGAAATTTGAGAGCATGGATCAGAAGGATGCTACAGAGCTGCTCCCTATGGCCAGGCAATTCTTCTCCAGGGTCAGGAGTCCTCCTTGATAGGGAAGGAATCGCTAGGAAAAGTGAACTCGGGTAAGACGTTCTCCTGTCTTGACCTTTGTCTTTAGAGCCTAAGAATCCCCAGGGAAGGCATTTTTACATAGCTACCTGATGGTGTAAGCAAGCTTAAGGACCCTGGAAACAAAATGTGGTGGCACAGGGTCCAAAGCCAACACAGCGACTTAGATGCTGCGCAGGTACCACTGGAAAGCGGCCTCCCTCTCTTCTCCTCACCTCTGAAAAGCTACTTAATGATGCACAAAACTAATTATTATAAAATAAGTCTGACGCTCTATGGTGGCTGTTCACAATGTGGAAAATCACACTTTTTCATGGCCTATTTTCTTTTAAAATGGGTGCCCTTTCTCCACCCTTAATGTGTTCTGTATATGTAAAATAAATACTCTTCGCAGCAGGATCCTGGTTTGGAGGCCTTAAAACCTAATAAAACAGCCCTGAAGTTTAATGGTCCTTAAACGCTCAACATCTTTTTCATTTAATGTAAAATCCATCTGACCTAATAGCTGTGACTGAATTATAGATATATAATTTTTTTTCTATTAAATGTTAATCTTCTGCCTTGGCAGAGCAATAGATGCTCTAAATTATTAAGAAGGCAATAAACTCTCTAAACTCTTTCCAGAATTCAAAATATTCCCAGGACTGCTATCATGGAGGACAGAAAAAAAAAAAAAAATCACAAACCTGCTTAAAATAGAAAGCAAAAATCAGGATTATTAAGCACAATTTGATGGCAGATAACAATTAAAAGGGACATTGTTTTTTATTGGTATCTGAATGGGATATATACACATTTAAAGAAATACATATATGCATGTGACTAAATTATGTATGTGTATATATAACTGGGAAAGCAGTGCTCGCGAGTCTCGGCTCTTTCATTTACACGTGACGTTCTTCCTACCTTCCCTTCTGGCTGAATTCAAGTAGCACCACCCGCGCTAGCGCACGCACGCACGCACGCACGCACGCAGAATGAAAATGCCCTCTAAAGCGAAAGTGATGCTACCTTCCCAGTTAGGCTAAGCGCAAGTCCTCCCGTTGCCCAGGGAGTCCTGTTCGAAAGCCATTTCTGCTGCAGCCTGAGCTTTCTGTTTTTTTTTTTTTTTTTTAAATCTGTACATTCACACTCGAGTCAAAGGTCTATACATGCTGTAAGCAGCAGCATCCATGCTAAGAAGCGGGTTAAGATATACCTTGAAAGGATGGTCTAAGTGGTTCTGTTTTAAATAATGAACCAGAACATGTGAAAAGAGCTGAACTTCCAGCCACAAAGCCTGATTCACTTTTGCTGGGGACATGGCTGAATAAACTGGGAGCAGAAACGCCTATACTATTTTTCATTTTGTGTTTAGCACACAGTCTATATTTGCGTGTGTGTATGCAAGCTCTGCTTTTACTCATCTGTTGCTTCCCTCTCCTCCCTGAAAATTACTCATGATGTTTAAGAGCCAGGAGTAAGATCAGGGCTGTTTTCCCTGCCAAGTACGTTCAGCTGTGTTCCACATGTTGATCACAGGCGATTCTCTTCCAATCCGTATTTTGGTGTGAGGAGCTCTGCTGTCACTTTGGTAGCCAGAATATGTAAGAAAAGGTGGGGTTACAGCTCACTGGCACAGCATCTCTGTCTGGCAAGTGCGAGGTCCTGAGTTCAATTCTTGGTACTCCCACCCCCGCCCCCGGGGAAAAAAAAAAAAAGATCATGACAAGGTTGTTGAATCCAATGATGAAAATAATGAAGCAGTAAAAAATGGTTTTCTTTGTCCAGGCTGGTGATGCACCTCGCTGGCTCTGCATGCACACAGGTCCTTGGGCCCGTTCTTCCCACCCACACAGAGCAGTGTCCTTCCACCACAGAGAAGCAGATGTAAAGAGCCGCTTACAAGAACTGCAACAGGAAGTGTGGTGTACATGCAGTCGGCACCAACCCCAGGTACCATGAACATCAAGTATTAATTTGAAACTCCCTTTCCAACTTTGGAACAAGGGAACAGAACAACACGAGCCACTCAGGGAGGCAAGAGGCAGGCGAAGGAGAGCAGTTTTAGGTCCTTAATTGAAAAAAGCTGCTGAGAGCCAGGCTTGGGTCGGGCAGTGCTGATGTTCCACAGCAGCAACATTTTCAAAGCAGCAATGAGCCAGAGCATTTTAAGTAACATTTTAGCTAAATCTGGCCACAGTCAAGAGACAGTGCTTATATCAAAAGCAAGGCATAAGCAAGACTACATCTGTCAACTTTGCATTGTTGTATCAGTTTAAAAAGAGGAAAGGTTTGTTTTGGTCTGTCACTCTTCACTTGGCCCTTTGCTTCTGGGCCTGTAGCAAAGCAGTACATCATACAGAAGTGGGTGGCAGAGGCAATTTATCACCTCCTAACAGCCGGAAGCAAAGAGAGAGGAGAGGGAGGGCCAGAAAGCAAATATCCAGCCAAAGGCAAACCTCTAAGGACCTACCTTCTTTCCCTCAGCCCCTACCTCCCATAGGTCACACCACCTCCCATCTAGCACTCCTGAGATTGATCCACACCACAGCACTCAGCTGAATTCCTCTGGAACTTCAGAACCATACAGATACAGCTTGTGTTTGAAGTCACCATGTTAAAATCTGAAGAGTTCACTGGATGAATATTTGATTTTATTAGCTCATTCTTCCTAACAACGATGCTCAGCCAAAAGCTTTTCCAGAGAAGCAGGAATGATAAGAGAAAAACCTAAGGACTCAATCATAAAGGAGCCTCCCAGAGAGGACATTCAACATTTTAGACAATGACCGCCCTTCTCCCTTGGCCCTAAGACTAGATCTCCCACTCCTCCTGCACACAAGACTGAAAGAGGGCCGGGGAGGTGGCTCAGTGGAATAAGCACTTCTCTGGCAAGTGCAAAGGCCTGAGTTTAATTCCCGGGTCCGCAAAAAAAAAAAAAAGAAAGAAAGAAAGAAAGACGAAGACTGAAAGAGACAGGCAGTGTCCATTATGTGGGCTCCGCTTGTTTACTAACTAAATAGCTGTAATCACCAGCACTGTAGATGAAATCTCTGCCTTTGATACGAAAAGGCAAGTGGGTGAGACAATGGTATTACAAGGAGTTCTAGATAGTTAACTAAGAATGTTATTACTGTCTGTACTTCAGACCCCATCATTTTCTACTCCAAATTTTCCAAGACAGGAAATGGCCTAGCTTAACATATGTTTTACAAGGATGTTCAAGACAATATTCTACAGAAAACGTTTTATTGATGGTTGAAAAAAAAATAAAACACACATAAGGTTCCTTTTCCATCTTATTACGGAAAACACAACACTTAATATGAGTGCTCAGTCTAGAATCTGCTCCACTGTTGAGCTTCAGCAGGTGACCAGAAACTCACAGTAAAAACAATTACTTAAAAATCGGCTACTGCTTATATAAACTGTATGTATCTTTCCCTTGCTAAAAATGAGTCCAGTTCTGCATTTTCAATATTGTTTGTACAATGAGAAAACAGGTTGGCTTATTCTTTGGTGTGAAAAAGTATTTTGATGTTTCTTTTCCCCTATTATACAAATATGGGATTTAAAAACCTGGTTTTGGATGCTTTTAAAGAGATTGTTAAGGCACATTTTGTAATTTAAGAAAATTAAGCTGAAATGATCCATTTGTTCAGTTATTCCTAACAAATCAGTAATTTTCAGTTTGAATAGTAAACAAAATATTAGTAAAAGTAACAAGACATAAACTTTCCTTAATGAGATGAAGTTAAGAAAAACAATTGATTCCATTAGAGTACTATAAACATGTCCAATTTTGTATCATCTTGCTATCTACATACTCTTGTAATTTACTGTATTATTGCACTTCTGTTGAAAACCTCAAGATCTGTTTTCAAAAATCGATTCTCTAATGCTACTTTTGCAGGAAAAATGCATTTTACATTATTAATCTCATTAGTATAACTTTCCTATAAATAAGTATGAAACATTTCAAAGATACAGGTATAGTGAGAACTTGATTTACAATAGTAGCAAATGTCAGTCATTTCTCAAGTTTGACACTTTAAAAAATCTAGCATATCATTTATCATTGTTCTCTAAACACTGTGGCAAGAAAAGTCACCACAAAGTAAAAAATTAAGATACTGTTGTAGAGATAATGAGGCAATCTCATTATAAATTCCTGAAATATTTCATCCCTGCCTGCTTTTAGCCTAAATGCAATTTAGCACTGCGATGCACGGATGAAAAGAATCTACTTTACAAGGCATAGAAATTATTAGTGTAAGTAGAACACACACTCGCACCTTTGTAAGAAGTCAAAGGCACGCATTAAGTTCCCCAGATAAGGATACAACTTGGCCAGCCAAGTCCTAACACATTCCTTGGAACTACATTAGGCACAAGGATCAGCCGAGGACTGGAAAGGTCTTCCGATCCACTTAAACATGGCCGCGAACTCAATTAATTTTTCTGAAATAAACCATTAAGGAAGGTATTACAGCCTGACCCTTCCTTGCATAGACCCACTCAGATGGCATGTTTTATTAGGGACTCAAAGGTTTAAAAACATGTAGTCAATCCAAAGCAAGGTGTTAGTTGATTTCCCTAGCTATAAAATCAACATGTATAGAATAACATAAGATTTGAACTGATACTGAAAAACTCAGTAACACACTCATCTAATTGGAAAAAAAACTATTAATGGAACAAAATATATTTTATTTTAATTATACTAGCAGAGTAAGGCCCGGAAGTGGCAGAGTCGCAAACGAATGCTCAGCACCAGCAGGACAGAGCAGGTGAGCAGGGCGGAGCTGACGTCAGCACACCAGCCCCTGCCGCATCTGTATGATCTGCAGTAAGGCTGCCTGGACATCTTCATCCATGTGACCCTGGGGAGAAGGAACAAAGAGAAGAAACAGCTCACATCAGCTTTACTTACAGAAGAACTCAAAAGACAAAGGAAGTCCTTATCCTGGGGCCCAACTGCTTATGATTCAAAACCCTCGATATCAGGGTGGTATTCTACAGGGAGGAACTGGAACAGGGAGTATAGCTCTCGCAGGAAAAGAAAGCAAGCCAATCAGCAAGTGGTGGGTGCCAGAAAACCAGTGTACAAGCCCACTCCCTCTTGGGCTCTCTCTTCTTCCTTCCCACCCTCCAGCATGGCTCTGATGATTAGGGACCAGAAACCATAAAGAACAAAGCAAACCGAATGAATGTTGTTGCTGCTGTTATTGGAATTTTCTTTGCTTTTAATTAGAAAGTAACTGAGGAAAAAATCCCCACATTCACAGTTTCTATAGAAATAGGATCATGTAATATGTATTGCCTTGTAATCTGCTTTTTTAGTTTTATAGTAACCCTTCCCTAGAGTTACATAATTATATAACTTTTGTATAATAGTCCATTATATGGATATTTTACCTTCTTTGCCTGTTCCCCTAATAATGTATGATATTTCAAATCATTATGGGACAGATAACCTAGAGAAGAAATTGCTGGATGAAAAGCAGTCCCGATTTTTAATTCTGTAAAACACTACAAAATGTCCTTCTATAGAGATTATAACATTTCCACTCTCATCCAACAAGGTATAAACACACCCTTCACACACACACCAGCCAGCACAATGGACTGTCATCTTGTTCAGTATATGCCAATCCTGTAAGTAAATGATGGCACCTCTTGTCCAATTGTATGTCCCCCATTACTGACTAGGCTGAGCAGCTTTTTATCGCATTTCAGCCATTTACATTTCAGTGCATCCAAATGAAACACCTTCAATTTTTAAAAGTGGCAAAAGTTGAAGTGTCTGCTAGTGCTGGGGGTTTGCATTCTCCCCACTCGTTCTTCTTCCTTTCTGCTGGAGCACTTGCATAGGTTTCAGCACAACATTTCTATTAATATAAAGTTTTACTTCCAAAAATCTGTTTTTATAACAGCAGGACATTTAAATTTCAACCATTAGCTATAGTTGACTAAACTGAATTCTTAGTTAACTTCAGGATGCCAGAAGGCAAGACTATTTCAGATGCCAACTGCTTTTGCTATGTTTCATTAGGATTGAGTAGCAAACAATTTCAAATTCTAAAAGTATGTGCTATGTCAAGTACAAAGGTTATTCATTTGTTGCATCGTTCAGTGAGAGCGAGCTCGTCCTCCTGGCCAATACTAGTGTTTTTCATTCTGTTAATACTATAGATTTTCTATTCTTTTCTACTATTTGCCCTTAACAACCTATCCTGGTTTTTGTCTATAGTTTTCTTTAGTAACTACAATAAACTTTCAAATCCCAGCCTATCTTCTACCTACTCACACTATTCTTTTCAGTAGCTACCATGCCATCTTTTTTTTTTTTTTTTTTTTTAAATGAATTTAGGACAGGGTCTACAGAGCGTACAGGGTCTCACTACATAGATCGGACTTGTAGTGATCCTGTTTTCAGCCTCCCAAGCACTGGGATTACAGGCGCTCACCACCACGCCCAGTCTCAATCACCATCTCAGTGTGCCCCAGGGGTGGGGCCAGCACAGCACGCTGGGGACTGAACCCCGGCCACTGCGCTCTGCCAAAGCAGGCACTTTAGTTCCCTGAGCTATCTGGCCAGCCCTTCATCATTTCTTCATTTAAAAAAAAAAAAAATTGATCTAGTAGTTCATGCCCATAATCCCAGCTACCTGGGAGCCTGAAAGAGGAGGTTCACCAGTTTAAGGCCAGCCTAGGCAAGTTAGTGAGATCGTTCCTCAAAATGTAAAATAATGTTTAAGCCTGGGGATGGAGCTCAGCGGCAGAGCATAGGAAGGCAATGCCCTATGTTCAATTCCCAGCTATCCCCCAGAAAACTGATACCATGTTTTATTTTATCTTATTCTCTTTTAAAAATGGTTTCTTTGTCCGCTCAACACTCATCTCTTTTTTTGTTTTAACAACAAGGCCCACAACACTTCAAGTCCAAATAATTCCTATTATTCTCTCTCCCTTGTCATTTTAACATTCGAATCTTCCCCAAAAAACTATTCTGAGAATTTTGGAGATGTTGCTCACATGACTTTACAGACGCCAAGAATATGTAAGTTGAATGTTTTCTCAGCCTGTTTTTATAAAAGCAGCATTATCACTGTTAAAGAAGGAAATCTCTAATCTTATGTTTCACTAAGTTTAAGGCTCAGCAGACATTACCAATTATCTTTTAACAGACCAATTTCTCTCTAATTATTACAATTCTATGCACAGCCTGCTTGCCACTTTCAGACTTTGCTAGTATCTTCCGTATTTCAAAGCAGTGCCTCTGCCACCAAGACATGCATGAAGTCCTCGCCACTCCCCTGCAGCTGACAGCCCTGCTGGGTGTCAAGGCGTCAGCGCTAGCCAGCAGCACCACGAAAACGTGCTGCCATCGCGTGTTGCCAAACTGTCTAAAGAATGAGTGACAAGCAGATGGAGACAACACTAAATTTAAGATGTTGTGTTGCCACATAGCTTTGTAAATTTTTCTGGGAAATATGCAAGCCATGATTAAAAGAAACACAATTATTTTTAAATAAGCATATGGGATATAGCTACTTTATTTTATTTATTTATTTATTTATTTATTTATTTATTTATTTTCTTTGTTTGGTTTTTTGCAAGACAGGGTCTCGCTATGTAGCCCAGGCTGGCCTCAAACTCACAGTGATCCTCTTGCCTCAGCCTCACAAGTGCCAGCGTTACGGGCATGTGCCACAAGCTAGGCTATAGGGTTACAGCTACGTTAATATCAAGTACTCACACATAAATTTAAGATAAAAAAGTACAGTGTTCTCTTCTAAAACAACAGCCTTTCCAAAGAGCCACAGATCTTTACCTGTGCAGCACTAAGAAGGTGTGTCCGGTAAATCGCAATCACTTCTTGGTGCTGTCTGTCAGCATCCTAGAAACGAAGACAGATGCACAGATCAGAATAGCAGCACCATCCCCACACACGCATGGCTGTGACAATCCCATCCTGAGCCCTGACCCTGCGAGACACTGACACTGCCATCGTTAAGTAGCTCCCGCCCTTCTTCTTGGGACAGATCGCCTGACCCTACCACATGTGGATTCTGTAAGAGGAAGCAGTGTGCACTCTGCTAGGAATGTGTCAGCATTCACGGCGAAAGCAACGCCACTCATCCCAGGTCACAGGACACTGCTGCTTCAGGTCACAGCTCCTGCCGTGGTCTTGCCCAGACGCTAACAACACGTGATTTGCACGACTGCAAAGGTGCCCGTCTTGTCGTCTGAGCACTACTCTAAGGCTCTGACATGCTTCCGAGACATAAGCATCTGCAAAACTGTTTACATTCTTGGATCTGAACAGAGCTGCAAATCAACTGGCTTCCAAATGAGCTGCACGCACTCCCCAGGGCGGCCCGGCCCCTGTGCACGAGGCCTCGGGCGTCTCATACTCACAGCCAGCTGCTGCTGCAAGGCCTTCACTTGGTGCTGCAGGGCGTCCACCAGCTGGCTCTGCCTCTTGGCGGGGCTGCTGCTGGTGTATGTGAGCTGGGACAATCCATTGAGTGCCTGCTTTAGCCTGTCTACATCACTGAGCAGCTCCGTTATCTTTTGAAAGGAAAAAAAAAAAAAAATCACAGGAAAAGCACATATTATTCATTTATAATGAGCATACTTGCATAGAAATTATTTCTTATTTGAAACACAAACTTCATCTTTATATACCAGAAACTGGAGGTATGGGTATGGTCAACTTCTTACCAACAATAAACTTGCTTCATTTCTTTAGTTAAATTCCTTTCAGTAAATTTCTTACAAACAGAATATCAAATGAAGAATATAAGCATCCCTTGATTTGAGCATAACTTCAGTCTTCCTATTCTTAAATAATTTGTATGGCTCTGTAAATGTACACAAGCTATCTTCCAGGCAAGGCATGGGACACAGGGGGGGAGGGGACACGTTCTAGAACAGTGTGCATCTAGAATTCATGTACATGCCTCGTCCCTCTCAGGGTTGTAGTACTTAAGACTGTTTTGTTGTACTGAGAGGAAAAAAAAAAATAGGAAGCTTGTTTAGGAAAAAAAAGCAGAGGCTTTGAAATCAGACAGATGTGGCTTGTATGAAACTGGCTAATTTTCTTCCCTTTTCTGAGCCTTTAATTTGCTTATTGTTTAAAGGGGGTAAATCTTTCAGAGTTAAGAAAATCAAATACAAACATAATTATATGTCTCATACGGAGCACATTTCAATGGCTACATATTAATAACTAGCTGGCACACTTATGTGGTATATTCTTCCAGACCTTCCAATCAAAGTGAGAGGACTGCGAGGCTGGGCCAGGCGTCAGCATTTGTACCTCTCTGCTGAGGAGGGCTGGGTCTGAACCTGTTTTTATCACTGCTGTGGTCCCAGCACCCAGCACGAGGCATTTAACAGAAAGTTCCCTCTGCTGGTGGCACCATCATGTTTATTTGGTACCTAATTAAATGCCAGGCACTACATTCAGCATTTTCACTTATTTATCTCAACTTTATCATCACCACCCTACAAACCTGGTCTATTCCCTCTTTTTTGGTTCTGAAAGAAACAAAGTCTAAGTCATTATCCCAATGGATGAAACCGCAGTCTCATTTCCATAGCATAAGCTGTGTGACTACCGATTTCAAAAATATTGCTGAGTACCTATTCTGTAAATCGTACCAAAAGAATGAAGGACAGACTGCTTGGTTCCCTGCGACCAGTAAGTGTCGAGATCAGGGATGGACACTTCCCACTGGCCTGGTTTTTTGCAGCACGGGAACATGGGCTTTTTCCTCCTCTCCACCCCCATTCTTCTGATGTCAGAACCTACTAGTCTTTGACTACTCAGTTATGGGCCAAGTGAATCCTGAGTCTCCCCATCTTTCTTCAATTCATGGCTATCCCAGGGGAAAGAACAGATGGAGAAATTGCTCTCCATTTTTTTTTCTTTTCTGTCTTTTTTTTTTTTTTTTGGCAGAACCAGGGACTGAACTCAGGCCCTTGCACTTGCCAGGGAAGCGCTTATTCCACTGAGCCACCTCCCCGACCCTGTGTTTTTTCAATTCGGAAGATCTTTGCACACCAGCAGTCGTATAAAGGAGGCCCTCTAGCGATGCTTTCATAAGCCTGTCTGCTGGTGGAGTCCTATTCCCCTGCTCCGGCCACCCTCCTCTGGGGTTTCCGGGAATAGCCATGCACACAACTCTGTGCCTACCTTATTATCTTTTGCTTCAATTTGCTTAGCAGATTCTTCTATCCTCCTCTGTAACTCCGTGATTGTTGTTAAGGACTTATCGCATCGTTCTTTCTGGTCCTTGATTTCTTGCTCAATGCTGAAATGCATTGATTCTTTCTCATCTTTTGTAGATAAATTCTTCTTTTTGGCATGCAAGACCTCTTCGCATACTTCATCATATTTTTTGTTCAGATTGGCCAATTTTTCATTTAAGTTGGAAACCTGGGTCTCTAAATCCTTTTTTGTTGCTTTATATTTAGACAAATCAACTACCTCTCTGGTCTCTAATTTTTTTAGTGCTTGTTTAGTATTCTGAACTTCGGTCTGAAGCTTGGAGACTTCTTGGGTTTTATTCTGACTTTCTTCTTCCTTTTCCCTCAAGCTAGCCTTCATGACACCAACCTCCTTCTCAAATGCCTCCTTGACCTGCAGATGCTCCGCCAGGGGCACAGAAGAGTTCTTCTGATTCTCCAGCAGCTGCTGCAGCTGGCTCACTGTCTGCTGTGCTCTCTCACAGCTCCTCTGCTTGTTCTTCAGCTCTTCCTTCAAGTTCTCAATTGTGCCATTTAGAGCTGCTTTCAGGGCCTCCACCTGCTCCAGTGGAACGTGCTGTTTCTGCAGCACACTCTGTGCTGCAAGGATCTCTGAGGTCTCTCTGGCCTTTTCTTCTGCTAGCCTCTCTCTCTCAGCCTGCGCATCAGCGCACTTCTGTGCCAGATCTTTCATCTGCTTGTTGAGCTCTTCTGCTTTTCTGCTCAGCACTCTCTCTGTTTCCTGGGCATTCTCCAACAGGACATCCTTATCCTTCAACTCTTTCTGCAGGTTAGTGATCTCCCTCTTTAACTTGTCACTCTCCTGCTTGCTTTTCTTGGCTTCTTCTTCTCTGATGCTGCACTTCTGTGTCTGCTCTGACAGCTTTTCTTTTAGCTCCTTCTCGGTTGCTTTGAATTTCCGCTCACACTCCTCAAAGCTGATAATAGGAGCGTATTTGAGTTTGATGCACTCATGGATCGTGTCAAGTTCCTTCTTCTGGGCTTTGATTTCAGCGTGAAGGGACGCAATCTCCTCCTGGTCCCGGCGATGGTCGGCCACAGCGGCAGCGCTGGCCTCCTGCAGCTCCGCCAGCCTCTGACTCAGGGCGCTCGTCTTCCCCTCGTGCTCCTCCAGGGTGATGTACTTGGCCCTGATCTGACTCTGAGTGGTCTCCAGCCTTCTCTTTAATATTTCGTTCTCGTCTTTTATTTTAACACATTCCTGGTTTATGTCTTCAAATCTCTTCTTTGCATCAGACAGTTCTCTGTTAGTCTTATCTAATGTGCTGCTTAGCGCAGTTTTAATCTCTTCATGCGTTTTAGTGGGCACATACTGGTTACTCAGAGTCTTTTTCAAATTGGTGTTTTCAAATGTGAGCGCATGAATTTTCTCTTGATCTTCACCACATTTTTTATTAAGTTCAGATAGCTGTTTTTTAAGTTCAACAATATTGAATTTCAGGGCCGTTATCTCTTTTTCATGTTTCTCGGGAGGAATAAACACAGTTTCCAGGTGATTAACGTTCTTACTCAACCTGTCATTTTCCATCAATAATTTCTCCACTTCAAATTTCTTTTCTGTATATTTCTGTGTTGCCTCGGAAAGCTTTTTATTCAAGTCATCAATATTAACATCATGTGACTTTTTCATTTCTTCGTTGACTTTTAAAGGAACGTAGTGATTTTTCATCTCCACGGTGAGGCTCTGCACTTGCTGGCCGAGGAGCCTGTTGTCCACCTGAAGCTTCTCAGTCTCCTTTTGGAGGGTCTGGTTTCTCAGCGTGAGCTCAGCCACCTTCCTGCCCAGCTCCCCTGACTTCTGCTCCAGCCTGCCCCTCAGCTGCTCGTGCTCCTCTGGGCTGACTTGCTGGGCGAGCTTGGCCCTGACGGCCTCCAGTTCCCTCTTTAACTGGCGAGCTTCACTGAGCGATCGCTCATGTTCTCTTTCCATTTCTACAAGCTTTTTTGCTTTCTCATTCACTTCATTTGATAATAAGCTCTTCATGTTCTCAAATTTTTCTGTTGGGATGGAGAGGGCCGCCTTGCCCGACAATTCTTTTAGCTGCCCTTCCACCTCCATGACTCTCCTTCCTTTCTTGTCCCGCTCCATTTCACACATACTGAACTCCTTCTGCAGTCGCTTATTTTCTTCTACCAGCCTGCCTGCATCCCTCTTAAACTCTTCCACTAACATCTCATTTTGTTTGATTTGGTTTCTTAATTTTCCCACTTCTGCTGAGGCGCCTTCATATTTGACTTTCATGTCTTTCAACTGGTCCTTCAGTTCCTCCATGACTCTGTGGTTCCCTGTGGCCGCTTCGCTTGTCAGGTGCTCCTTCAGGGCAAGAAAGTGCGTCTGCATTTGCTTCACTTTGCCTTCTGATTCATACATCCGCTTCTGCACGTCTTTTAGGGCATCTTCCAACTGCTTTATCTGCTCATCGGAGTCCTCCTTGACTCTTTCGCACTCCAAGGCTAAAGCTTTGCACTCTGCCACCTTGTGAGCTAGCTCATTTTGGAGCTTGAGCCGGTCCTGCTTTGCTGAGTCACAGAAAGTTCGCATTGCTTCTAGCTCTTTCTTTAAAATCTCATTTTCTGAGTGTGAGGTTTGATTGGGTAGTGATACCTCCAGGGGTCTTAACATAGACCTGCTCTGCATATGGGCTGGCATTCCAGGAGAAGTGCACTGAAAAGGAAAAAAATGATAGCAATCACCAATGCCTAAAGAGGACATTCACTCTTAGCCAAATTTAGATAAAGTTTCTCCCTCACCAGAACTCAAAGAAGTCCAGTGTTGGCCAACTGGAAAAACAGAATAACCATAATTCTGATTTATATAGCAAGAAAAACCAATCTAGGTTTAAGTTTCTTAACTTTTTTTTTTTTTGGTGGAACCGGGGATTGAACTCAGACCATTGCGCTTCCCAGAGAAGCGCTTATTCCACTGAACCATCCCCCCAGCCCCCAAGTTTCTTAACTTTTTGAGATCTATTCACTTAAGTGTATTTCTAGCAGAAAAAAGAAAAGTAGCTGTGGCATCTGGACTCACTTTCTCTCTGTCCTCTTGATACTATCTACCCGTAACACAGGAGTATCAACCTTAGGGCTGGCCAAATAGCTCAGTGGATTGGGGGTTCGATCCCCAGGCCTGCCATGCTTGCCCCGCCCCTGGGGAGTGCTGAGATGGCATGGTGGCACGCACCTGTGATCCCACCTCTTGGGAGGCTGTAAACAGGTGGATTACTACGAGTCCCATCCAGTAGTGAGACCCTGAACACCCTGCAGACCCTTCCCTAAAATACAAAACAGAGAGAGAGAGAGAGAGACAGACAGACAGACAGACAGACAGACTGACTGACTGACTGACTGATTCAACCTTGCTGGGAATTTAGCTCAGTGGCACAGCGCCTGCCTGGCAAGCCCTTGGTCCTGAGTTTAAGTCCCATATCCCACCCCCCCACCCCCGCAAAAAGAGTATCAACCTCATCAAAATATATTTACCATTTCTATGGTATAGCATATAATGTACTTAGAATAAAAATTCTAAAGCAAGCTCTCAGAACTCTTGAATAAAAATAAGCACTGAAATTTAAAATATGAACCACTATAATTTAAAATATGTAATATTACTAAATTATTTAATATTACTAAAGTTCTAATAAAATATATGACTTCTGAATATCTTCACTATTAACTCCAATACAATGTTTTTTAAATATTAAAAATACTACCCAAATAAACCCCAGCTAGTATAATAGTTATTAAGAGAATGTCAGCTCTCAAAAAGAGAAGCAAATTCTCTTCTGTTAGGATAGAATTTAACACACAATCTTAGTACAAATCTGGATTAATACAGTACTTCGCTCAATCTATTAAATGCTGACTCAAAAAAGTCCCGAGAAGTATAATCAAACTTTTGAATGAAACAGTTCAAGTATCAGAACACACAATCAAAAAAGACTAAATTTAGCTCTTTACTGTCCCACTGGGCTTATTACAATAAGAACTCTTTCTTTGTAAGTATGGATTCATTGATAAAAGCACTATGCCAGGAGGACATCCTATGATTTCAATGGACAAGTTTTAGGGTTATTAGGTTCAATGCAAACTGCCTTCCTCTGAATCAAGCAAAACATGACAACATGGAGCGATGTGGTAGCCTTGGCTTCCTTCCATATTCTTATTCAATTTATCAATTATTTTCAGTTTAAGGCTGCTATAACTTGCGAAGAAATTACACACAGCTTCACAATTTCCATGTTCATTATTTTTCTACAATCAAATATTTATCTAATCTTCGAGGGTGGTTGAAACCCTTGTCTCTACTTAGAATCTCGGCGTTCTCACATTGCAGAGGCATCCAACACCTTGTCCCGGCCTCCCTGTTCTGCCTGCAGAGGTCAGTACGCAAGTGAGCCTCTAGGATCCAAGTGCGTACCAGTTCTGCAAGTGCAGACGACGCCAGAAATGCAAACCTTGTATCTACTGAAAATTAAAACTCGGGAACAGACGAATAGGTAAGAAAATCAGATAACATCCCTTAGAACTTTACTTTGATGTGAATTCCTAAAATATAGAATATACATGTAATTGCAAAAGGAAAAATACAGTTGTATGCCCAAGCCAGGCAGCTTGTAAGTATTTGAGCCTATCTTCCCCTCTACATGGGCAGACAGGAAGAGATGCAATCACTGGGAAGAAGAGAGGCTTCCTAACAAAGCCACTGCTATCAGATGCCACCGCTCACCAGGACAGCAATGCCTGCTCTTAGTAAGCTCCAGAGAACAAGACGCTCGGAAAGAAAACGTTACTGTGTATCTGTGCTTAATAATTATGCAATACTGTTTCCTCTCTTCATAAAAACAAATTTAAAATATTTTTAAAAATTCAACAAGCATTACCTGTGATTCCATCATATACATCTGACTTTGTTTGAGCACATCTTCTTTTCCTACAAAGTCCAAACACATCACATCTTAACTTCGATATCCACACCGGCTTAGGGTAACTAGTAACTCGCTTTTTATTTCCTTTCCTTTACAATCCAATTAAAAGCAGGAGGTACAACATAAAATTATTCTTGGGCTAAATATGGATCTAAAATAACCACATTTTTCCTGTTTCTATAAATATAAGAGAAGTATCTGTAGCTTAGTGAACAATAAGATATTAAATTGGTTAGGTTACAGAGGTTACATAGTTATTATACAATATACAATCAAAATAAAAATGCTTCTTTGAAATTTATAGGATAAATACTACTGATATACTTAGCTAGAGTATAGTTTAATACTCAACTAAGAAACAAAAACCCCAGATTCTTATATAAAATTAGAGAATAAACAAAAGTAAAGACTACTCACGTATGGTCCTAAAATAAAAAACAACTGTTTATGGAACTTACAACTATAAGTTACAAAATGCTTACCAGCACTGAGATTGATTTCTCAAAATCAGAAAACTTTCTATAAAAAACAAACCCTAATTATCATATGAATGTATACTAATCAACAAGGTCAATTTGGTAACTGTTATACTTTATAATTTTAAATTATATATGGCTACAAAAAAAATCAAGGCCAGAGGGCCTAGGGCATTTTACACTAGGGCCATGGTGTTCCTCAGAACCTCCCTCTAGCTCCATCTGTTGAGGTACATAAGTAGCGGCACCAGAATCACAGGTGGCCAGGTAAACAGGCAGAAACATTCCTTCTTGCTTCAACTGGGTGCCCCATAATGATAATCCACACTTTTGTACTTACGGTTACTGAAGTGACTTCCTGGTCCCAAATGGTCACTCTGAAACCAGAAGCATACATTAAGACATTTTAGGTGAATGCTGCTTCATTTTGTAAAATGATGTATCTGCTTTACCTCTAAATGGTCCAGTCATTAAAGTACCTTCTTTTTTTTTTTGGCGGAACCCGGGATTGAACTCAGGCCCTTGCGCTTGCCAGGGAAGCACTTATTCCCCTGTGCCATCTCCCCGGCCCCAAAACTACCTTTCTGACACCCCTTGTTTCTATGAGCATTGTTCTACTTAAATCGACAAAAGACACTGCACTAGCAACAATCAGAGAGATCATGGCGAACTACTGTACTAAGCATTTTAATAAAAGCTACCAAGTGTTTCAAGGTAAGTCTTTATTACACTACAGAAAAGGTAAGTGCGCCTCCAAAGAACTGAAGTCACTCTGCGCACCTAGTGTTTGCTGCTGCTCTGTTCCACATGCCCACTGAGGACTCATTCTATTCTGCCGCTGTTGGCAGCAGAAGCCCCTTCTTACTGACCACACATATTAGCATAACCCCGTCTTTCAGAATTTACAGAGCTCTGACTACTTCTGAAGGCAAAAGGAGGCAGAGTGCAGGAAATGAAATTGAGACAAAAGTTAACAAACAGTAATAAATCTGTCAACAAATCAGTTAGTAAAAGAATAACAGAGACAATCTGGATGATCACAGCTAAAATATGTGTGCACAGCTCTTCTCTCCAAGCAAGAACACAAGAATCTCATCTATAAGGGTATGTGGGTGTAGCTCATACCTCATAGGTGACCTGGATAAAGCAGTCTAGAGAGTTTTGTAACTAGGTTACTGCCACCTCCATTAAATCCCAGCACTCTGAGCATATAGGAAAATACCCATAAGCATCGTTAAGCTCTTGGTTCCATGTAATATTCAGTACTAGAACTTTCGGTAGTTTATGAAATAGTCTTATATACATGAGTGTTGGGAGGATCACAGTGCACACAAGGATTTAAAGTGTAATTGATTATCTTTCTTGTGTTTCTCAAATGAAAACAAATATATGAATTCTACATAAAATTAGCCTCCTTTTCACAGAGCAGTATTTCCCCGTATTTTTCCTATAAACATAAGGGAAATACAGACACATGAAGGATTATACATACCTCAGTACTAAGACTCTTGGCAGCTGTGGAGGCTTTCGGTGTTGTCGTTATTGTTCGGTGCATGTGTGTAGTCCCTGAGATTGAACAGACGGAACTCTACTACTAAGCTACATCCCTAGCATGTGACACGGTATCACAGTTGCTATCCAAGCCATCTTTAATGTTCACAAATGCTGGATCACAAAAAAAGTAGGTCCCATAATTTCTTTACGGAAGGAAAACAACCACTGTGAGTATGAAAATTCATTTGCAATCAGTATGTGCTGAGGAACATGCCTCCATTCCACAGAACAAGAAGCACTGTCAGACATAGTGCCTGTGGAGGACCACCTGAGCAGCTCTCCCTGAAAGGAGAGCGACTATCTCCATTTTGACTGAGCCTGGCCCTATTTCCTCGTACTGTTATGTACAGAGCTGGCTAGGACTTCTGTTTATCCTTCAATTGGCCTTAAGCAATGTATATTGGTCTAGCTGAGGCCTTTGAAGGTGGCCTGTGTGTGTTTTCCTGGTCACCTATACCTGCTGCTCTTTAATGTGAGCCGGGTGGAGACAGGACGGTAGAGCTAATGCTCTGCGCAGCCAGCTGGGATCGAGCCTGGAGGCAGAGGCCATGACTTCCTGGGGCTTGAAAGACTACATCAAAGCTGAAGCACCAGACTTACCAAAACATTCGATACTCTATAATGCAGATCACTCTCTCTGCATATCCTCTCTGCATATCGCAGAGGTAAATTTAGGCTGCCCACCTAGCTCAGCTCATAGTAGTCTCTTTCCCACAATTCTCAGTCAATCCTCAAGCCACTCCCCCACTGAATAAAACTGGGTGAGGCCCTGGGTCGCTCTCTTGGTTCCAGAAAGCCGGCTTCATGACAGGATTTAGAGCCCCTTGACTCCCCGATGATTGAAGATATAATTTGGTGTCTTTATTTTCGCCGTGGATTGCATTGTAAGTGGTAGATTGGAATCCATTTGATGGGATTCCAATAACATAACTTGGAATTACAAATATTGGCTTCTTGGACTGAGACGAGGACCTGGAAGTGTCTCCTACAAGTGCCTACGACCCCACCTGCAGAATGAGGTGCAATACACAAGGTGGAAACGACACTGGTTAGGCACTAACAGTACTATTACAGGGCTTTCCCCCCCTAAGACAGGGTCTTGCTACATAGCCCAGGCTGGCCTTGAACTCACTATGTAGCCCAAGCTGGCCACGAACTCATGACAAACCTGTCTCAGCCTCCCAAATGCTGGGATAATAGGCATGTGGCTGTTTTCTGCTTTTAGTTTATCTGTACCTTCTAATTTTTAGAAAATAAATATATACTAGTTTTATGCTATTACTTTTCTATAATTTATTATGACCTTATTGGAAGTTATAAATTTTGGGGCTGGGGAGATAGCTCCGTAGAATAAGTACTTGCCTGGCAAGTGTAAGGTCCTGAGTTCAATCCCCAGTACCACAAAAAAAAAAAAGTAAGTTACAAATTTGACAAATTTGAGTTAGTCAAAAGCTACAGAAAAACATCATGTCCCTAGGATATACAAAAGCTTCTACATCCTAAGAAGCACTATACAAAAAATACCCAAATTACAGGTGTCAGGCTGACAAACACATCCCAGGCCCTGTCTACACACTTGTATTTTCTCACATAAGCTATTCCAAGGTAAAAACTATGTGAGAACACAAAGAGCACCGCGAAGCCAGGTGCCTGGCCCAACTTCTGGTTCTGGACTTCAGGCTGTGAACCCTCCCTGGGTGAAGCGCTCTTCCTCAGCCTCCCTGCACATGAAGTGCAGATGCCAACGACACCTATCGCAGGGCCCACTGTATTTATCAACGTGTGTACAGTGCACAGACAGGGTCTGTCCCCAACATGGGGTCCGCACCATGACAATGTTGGCAGCAGTACATTCCAGTTGACCTTAAAAAGGGAGCCTCCAAATGTGAGAAGACATTCACATTTGTAGTGGAGTGTTCTTTAGTTTATGTAAGTCTTTCTGAATAATTTTTAGAATGCTGCCATAAGTACAGAACACTTCTTGCTCTCATTTTAAAAAATGTACCAAGGTATAACTAAGCTGCAGTCAAGTAGAGTGCATGTTTTCTGCATTGTCCGTCTTGTGTGATCACAACCCAGCCCAAGTCACATACACAATGTACACTGCAGCCCAGAAGTTTCTACACACACACACACACACACACACACACACACACACACACCCCCAGAGGCTTCACCAAGGGGTCCAAACTCCTCAGACTGGTTTATGTGCTGTTGGGAGCTGTGTAGAGTTAGGGACTTATGTGGGCTTTATGTCTGATTTGTTCATGCAACATTACACCTGTAAAATTCATCCCTATCTTACATTGTTTTTCACAACTGCCATTTTTATTTACAAGAAAAGTTAATTCTTGTTATCATCTGCCCATCCCTGAAAATGTGCCAAAACCGATTTCTCACTGGGGTGGCGCTGAGAGGTGGCGCCTGGGGGGATAGGAAGAAGTAAGCCCCAAGGCTGTGCTCCAGGACTAACAGTGCCCTCACAGAGAGCAGCAGGACCTCACTGAGCCCCTCCTTGCCCTTTAGCCTTCTGCCAAGTGAGAGCACAGCACTCTGCCCCTGCATCCTGGGAGGGTTTGGCCAGAAGGCTCTCAGCAGAACACCAGCATCTGAACTTGGGGTTCCCAGCCACCACAACAGTGAGAAATGCTTTCTGGTAGGTTATCCAGCCTCAGATATTGTAAAGGTACAAAAGGAATAAACCTTGGAATTAAGAGTCCTCAGTATGACTCAGGCACTTCCTTCTGTGTTCCCCAGCGACGAGTGACACACATACATAGACTTGCTAAATAAATCCATGCAACTGTAAGTCAGAGTAACTACACTGTGTGGGGAGAGCAGGTAGTGACAAAAAGAGGGTGTCTGGGAGATGGTGGGGTGCTGGTGGGGTCCTGCTCCCTGATCTGGGTGAGTTCAGCTTGTGAGAATTCAACAACTTACCCACTTTTAACATGGGTACTTTTTAATGTCTATAGCCTTTTAACAAAAGTTTAAAAAAAATATGGCTTGGAAATACTGCAATTGATTCAATCAAAGGTAAGCATATCTGAGCCCTCGGACACAACCCTCACCAAGGTGTTCCGAGTAACCCACACCTACACGGCCCTCCCCAGAGAACGCTGACACACCCCCTTCAGATGGTGCTCCCTAGCATGGCCACTGCAGATCCATGCTCACAATCGGAAGCTCCGAATGGAGGAACACAGACAGGAAGGTTAGGGACAAGGAACGGAGGCAGGACTGTCAGCTGCGTGCTAGCCAACTGCAAGGATCTCAGGGAACCTTTACAACACCGTGCGGAGGGAAAAGACTTCAATAAACTACTTCAGTCACACTGTGAAGAACAGACTTAAGAGTTCAACTCTGGCCCCAAGCCCTTCATAATCTCACTATGAGTTATTGGAAATAATTTAAGTTTTCTATACCTCTAAATACTTAAATCTATTTTTCAGAGCCTCAATGGTTCTTAAACTTTCTTCATGTTGCTTTTCTTTAGCTGCCAAAAGGGACTTCAGCTTTTCTCTCTGAAAGGGAAAGGAATACATACAAAGTAAAATCATCCTGTGCTTGAAATAGGGTTAACAATGAGTTGGAAATTACTCTGAGAGCTAGAATTAATGAGTTATCCAAACTGATGGATTTTTTTTTTTTTTTTTTTTTTTTGGTGGAACTGGGGATTGAACTCAGGCCCTTGTGCTTGCCAGGGAAGCACTTATTCCACTGAGCCATCTCCCCGGCCCAAACTGATGGATTTTAATTATTAGTAGAGTTGCTAATTTATATGCTTATACAAATAATATATACAAATAATATAAAAAATTCACGTTTCTATTCCTTATAATCCCTATTTTCATACGTTTTCTTTATATAGCTTAGAATTTCTCATTTTCATGAGAAGTTTCATAGAAAACAACATTCAAACAACTTTACAGTGACACCATTTTTGTGTTTCCTTGCAAGCAACAACCAGAAAAAGAATCACAGTCTCTATCTCAATTCAGGACTTAACCTTGATTGCAATATGCTCCTCAATCTACAAAGCGTACTTAGCGTTTCCAAGTGAAATTCGTTGTCTTACCTCACTTTCCAGATCATCAGCAACCATTACTTCCTAAATTTAAAAAGCAGAAAGGTATTTTAATTCTTGAAAACTGATTTTAATATGCACGAGCTTGGCAAATAGCTTTTTAAAAGACTAGCATGTGTCTTTAAGATTAGAGACCAGGATGGGAGAAGAAAACCTTGTCTCTGAGGACCGAGTCTGCCGCACGAGTTGTGCATTCGTCTCTCTAGTTGCGGGAGAACTTGATTCTTTGAGTCAAAAGACTCTCCAAACTCTACCTGTTGCTCATTCTGTTTGCAGCTGCCTCCTCCCCAACTGCCATGCCTCAGTTATAGTTCAGTCCTTTACTATCACACACCTAATCGCTTTTTTATTGTCAAATATTATATATAGATATGCATACTTCAGTATTTAAGTATTATTTTGAGCACAATAAAATGATCATTTATACCACTCCCCTTGTATACTTACATAAAAGGTACATATCTGTGTGTGTGTGTGCGCGTGCGCATGTGTGTGTATACATTTTTTTTCCTGTATTTTGAAACTGTTTTCTTGTGCTCCAAGCTGTTAGAGCATGAGCTGTATTTTGGTAAGCCTGTGACAAGCAATGACAAACCCTTAACAGTCACATCAGCAAGCCTGGGAGCAGACCCTTTGGCCCTTCAGATCCTACAACTCAGCCAACTGCCGGGCTGCAACCTAAGGAGGGACCTGAGGCCAAAACCACCATGTGAAACCATTTCAGGAAGTGAACAGAATAACCCCATGCTGCTGAAATCTTTAACATGCGCCAACAACTTGTTACACATTAGTAAAACCACCAACATGCCACATGGGTCTGAAATTATCCTTATTTTTCCTTCTCCTTTGACCGGACATTTGGCTGGTTATCAAACACTAGTGTGACATTTCTTTCCATCAAAATTTTGTGGGCGTTGCTCCACCGTCTTTCCCCTTCCCAATCTCATGGCAGAGAGATTCAAAGCTGTTCTGATTTCTGATGTGACCTGACTTTTTGGGTGAGTGGTAGGGACATTTGTAGATCTTCTCTGTCCCTACTTACTTCAAGTTTGACAGTAATGGTAGGTTTCATCGATGGTGGGGCCTTGCAACACACAAAGGCCTTTTCTCTCAATTCTAGGAAGGTTTTTAAGTTCCTTTACTAATGATTCTCCCCCACCCCACTCTTCTCTTCCCGAACAACTGTCATTCAGACCACTTACTGTGCTTTTTAGTCTTTCATTTGCCAAGCTTTTTCGCTTTTCCTATACTTGCAGGGAATTTTCCCAGCTTTATTTCTGACATAAAATATTCCCATTTAGAAGCATCTTCTTAATTCATAGCTATTATGTATTCTAGCTCACTACAGATAATTATAGGTGGTTTTTAAAATTCCTTTCCCTGCATAATCCACGTTGGAGTTTTCCCTGTGTTTAGTCTCTCCCTTCCATGACTGGAGCAAATCTCCCTGCATACCTGGCCCCCAAGTTCCTCCTCAAGAGTAGAGAACTAAGGAGATGACGGAAGGTCTATGCCGAGGTGTGACATCGCCACTCAGAACTTAAGCTGCATGATACAACTGGGCCAAACCATTCATATGATAAAATGAATAGTTTTATCAATAGTTTTAAATAGTTCACTGATGATACCAAAGTTTATACATTTTCTCCTTTCTTTCTAAAAATGATGATTAATGAATATTTTTGCATTTCCTTTTTTTTTTTTTTT